GTCCTCCTTGCATGTGTAGTTTGAGTACAGATTCCAAACTTATGGCTGAGTTTCTTCTAGTATGATCAAAAGTTTCTTTTTTCTTTGCTCTAAATAAACCTGAACTGTGGGTTCTCTGTAGAAGGTGGCATTTTGGGCTTTCCAAAACTCATCTTTGTAAAGCGATTTCTGCCTAGTTTATTGTCTAGTTAACTTTAGTTTAATGACCTTTTAAAAGTTGGCATTGTAAATAAAACAAGTTGAAAAAAGTTTTCTGAAATAGAATTAACAGCATATTCTCTTTATTCATGAGTTGGAAACTGGAAAAAGGCTACCTGAGGTAAATGTTTTGAGTGGGGTTATTAGGATGTCTTCCAGCTTCCTGGAGTCAAGGAGTACCACTGGTATTGATTAGCCTGTATGTAGCAGGGCTCCTTTAATTGGATCTAAGGACTCGTTTTTGCATTTTTAATCCTCAGCTTTGAATATGTTGGCTAGAGACTCAGTTACTACTCAGTTTGTGGTTTTGGGGGGAATATAACTAGCGAGTCTGTTAGCTTTTCGATTAAAAAAGACATAAACCATGTGGTTATGTCATCTTATAATCATTGATCCCATGTGGGGGAAACTTCACACTACTTGCATGTAAAAAATAATTTAACCTTTAACGTTAAAAACCTAGAAAGCATCCATCATGAATGCAAGATACTTTCAATAAAAAATAAGTTACGTAGTAGGTGGTAAATGGTTTGCTTTTGTGTACTTATCTGTGTCTCTTCACTTACTAGTAAATGAGTTAAGTATATGTACGGTTCTGTAGCTGGAGACAGCTTGCAGGCAGTTCATGTCCTAGCTCGCTGGGGGCTGCTGACCTAACCCTTGGGTTCTGATAGACTTGTGTCTCTTCTGACTGTCATGATCTGGTTCCCTGGAGCCAGTGCTTCAGTTCTTAACTGGTGCACGTGGCCGCACAGGACTGCACTCATTGTTCCCAGCCTCTGCCCTACAGTCGAAGGAAGTTTTCTCCGTGCTTGAGATGGCTCACAAATTGTTACGTCTTTTTCATTCCTCCTTGTGCTCCCTTTTTTCTTGCTTTCCCATTTAGCATCATCTGTATTCACATGGAGTCCTACCGCATTCTCTTCGTGTTTACCGTGAGCTGTTTTGGCTCAGATTATTCGCTGATAGTACTTTGCCTTTATACTTCACTTCTCGTTTGCCCTGAATCTGTATCTTGTTTAATAAAGTCCCATATACTGTCTCACATGAATTCCTGTTTGTCGTCTGTACCAGAGATTGCAAACTACAGCCCATGTGTGGGTGAAATCCAGCCCACAGCCTATTTTTGCAGTCTTTGAGTTAAGAATGGTCTTATGTCTTTAAAGGATTATTAAAAAATCAATACAGGAGACTGTATTTGACTGAAAAGCCTAAAATGTTTATTCTCTGGCCCTTGAGAGAAAAAGTTTGCCAACCCTTATGACTGCTTCTGGATCCCTGATTCCCTTTATCTCAGGAATTAGCTTGTTTTCCATTTGTCGTGGGTTCACTTGGGAAGGTAGCAGAATTCAATCCTAGCTGGAGTGTCTCACCTTTAATTCCCACCATAACAGTCAGTTCTTGCAAAAAGTTTAACCACCCCCAGCAAGATCTCTAGCATGATTGTGAAAAATAGAACTCTTGGACACCTGGTGGCTCAGTCGTTGGGTGTCTGCCTTCGGCTCAGGTCATGATCCCAGGGTCCTGGGATCGAGCCCTGCATCGGGCTCCCTGCTCCGCGGGAAGCCTGCTTCTCC